AGACACGGAGGATGAGACACCCTTTTCGGAAATTAGCGAGACCGACTCGCAATATTTGAAAAGGCGTACACTCCAAAAGCGTCTCCGAAACTCAGTTCCCGGATCGGGACAAAACTCACCTAATAAAAAAAAAAAGAAAAACAAATCAAATAAGCAACCAGAACAAGATAAATCTCCACCGAGAACTAGGAGCAAATCTAATGCCACTCAATCAGAGCCAACTGCACCAAAAACATCAGAAAGCAAAAATTCAATTCAAGAAAACAACCTATCTCACAAGACTCCGCAGCTTCAAGATTTTTCTGATCCTGAGCCGCCGCCAATATTTGTTTCAAAAATTAAGAACTTTATGTCGTTTGGTCAACAAATTGCAGATTTGATCGGACAGCCAAATTTTCGATGTTACTCGAGAGTGAACGACATCAAAATTAATACTAATTCAAGAGACAATTATAAAAAACTAATCAATTTCTTAACAACCAATAACTACGACTTCCACTGTTACCAATTAAAACAAGAAAAGGCGTATCGAGTGGTCCTGAGAGGACTACATTCAACCACACCCATATCTGCTATCAAATCGGGCCTCGAAGAAATCGGTCATACTGTCAGACACATAGCACCTGTACTACATCCTAGAGAAAGATATCCGCTACCATTATTTTTTATAGACCTGGAACCAGCAAAAACCAATGTTGAAATATTCCAGGTTCAACGATTGGTTTACTCAATTGTCCGTTTTGAGGAACCGAAACAGAAGCCTCTAATTGTACAGTGCACTAAGTGTCAAAACTTGGGCCATACAAAAGCCTATTGTTATCACGAAGTCAGGTGCGTTAAATGTGCCGGCCTACACGCTTCAGACACTTGCCAGAAGCCAAGAGATGAGCCTGCGATGTGTGCCCTTTGTGGCGAAGCCCATCCTGCGAGCTACAGAGGATGTGAAGTATATAAAAATCTTTACAAACAAAGATCACGAAACTCAGCGGTGAAAAATCTTAGATCTGCTCAGAAAACTTACACTGAACCACCTGAAATTGAAAATCAGGATATTTTCCCAGCATTGCCGACTTCACCTTCCCTCGTCATCCAACAACAACCATCCATCTCTACAGCTAAGGACTCACCACACCAGAATCTCAGAAATTCTCACTCCCAGTCTTCCACCAGTAAGAAGCAACCTCAACGTCAGGCGCCTCAGGCCTTCCAATCCAAGCCCAAAATCCCTAATACTCAGCCTCAACCTCCTCGCCAGCAAATCCCTCCTCATCATTTACCCTTAAGAGTCAAACTCCCACCAGAGCATCCACATCCAACTACATTCGTTCCTAATCCCAGGATGAACCCCCCTCCACAAGTCCAACAGAATTTAGATCCTCCTCCTCCTCGTACCCCACGACGGGCCCATCCCCCACCCAACATTCCTAGTCGCATAACCTACCCATCACAACCTCCTGATCCAAACCCACTTCCCAGTCAAACACCATTCGACATCAACACTATCTTATCATCATTCCTGATAGATCTTCAACAGACTATCAAACCACTCATAACCCTTCTAACCAGACTCCTTTCTGAAATCCCACTTAGCTTCCCTCGATGAACTCAAAGTCCCTAGCTATTCTCTTATGGAACGCTAATGGACTGCTAAACCACCGTGACGAACTAGACATATTTCTCCATGACAATTATATTGACATTGCCCTCCTAACAGAAACTCACTTCACCCAACGGACACATTTCTACATACGTGACTACATCACCTATAGATCTGACCACCCAGACAACACTGCCCACGCCGGTTCTTGCATCCTTATCCACAAATCTTTACCCCATTCCCTTATTCCTTCTATTCCAACAGATGCCATTCAGTCAACTTCTGTAATCCTCTCAACTCGTCCTTTCCATCTAACACTTTCAGCTGTATACTGTCCTCCTGGCAATTCCCTCTCGTACAGCCTACTTGAATCCTTATTACAATCCCTCGGATCGCGCTTTATTGCTGGAGGAGACTACAATGCTAAACACCAACGATGGGGTTGTCGATCATCCAACTCCCGTGGTAATACCCTTTCACAAGTTTCTTCTTCCAACAATTATTCCATCCTCTCGCCCATGAATCCTACTTATTTTCCAACATCCCTCAAAAAACGTCCCGATATCCTGGACATATTTATTACCTCCCAGATTTCCTCCTCCCAAACTATAATCAAATCCCTGGATGACCTTTCTTCAGACCATAGTCCAGTTCTGCTTTCACTACATTCTGACTTTGCTCCTAAACCATCACTTCCTAAACTGATCACTGGACGAGTAAACTGGGACAAATTTCGTGATGATTTGGAAAACAAACTAGACCTCAAAATCCCGCTAAAAACAAAAGAAGACATTAACGGTGCCATAGAAAAACTGACATCATCAATAACAGACAGTATAAATAATAACACCTTTATCAATAAGATTAACTTCCCACAAAATACTAACTTGCCACAGCATATTCGCATCTTATTACAGGAAAAACGCAGAGCAAGATCGAAGTGGCATAGGACAAGATACCCAACAGATAAATCGCATTACACACAACTGACTAACAAACTGAAATCAGAAATTAGAAAATACAAAATTCAAAGTTTACTAAATTTTACTGAAAAACTTACAACCACTGACAAATCATTATGGATGACCACCAAAAAACTTCTTAAGTTTCAAGACTTTAATCACCCACTACTTACTGATTCCCAAACCTGGTCCAAATCCGACGAAGAAAAAGCCCAACTATTTGGACAACATCTTTTCCAAACTTTTAATCCACATCCCGATATCCTTAATTCAACTCACATCAATTGTATTGAAGCAGAACTGGATATTCCTCTCCAAATGTCTCTGCCACCCAAAGCATTTCATCCCATAGAAATATCCAACATCATTCAAAAATTACCTTCCCGTAAAGCTCCTGGACATGACCTAATTACATCCCAGATCCTAAAACTTCTTCCTCGAAAAGCCATCCTATTCCTTACTTATATATATAATGCTGTACTCCGTTCTACATATTTTCCTGATCTTTGGAAACGATCTATTGTTAAAATGATCCACAAACCCAAAAAACCACCAGAATACCCATCCTCTTACCGTCCTATCTCTCTTTTACCCATCATGGGCAAAATCCTAGAAAAACTCATCTTAAAACGCCTGTACCCAATCCTAGATTCTAATCACATAATCCCAGATCACCAATTTGGATTCCGCTCCTCCCATTCCACTATACAGCAATGCCATCGTGTGGTAGACGTAGTATCCTCTGCATTGGAGCGCGGTATGTACTGTACGGGAGTCTTTCTCGACGTTGAACAGGCGTTTGATAGAGTTTGGCACCCGGGACTGCTGTACAAACTCCGAAAATTCCTCCCACCTACATACTTCCTTATTATCCGTTCCTACCTTACTGATAGATACTTTAAAGTAAATCACAATAACGCCTATTCATCCCTTTTTTCCCAGTCTGCTGGTGTTCCTCAAGGTAGTATCCTAGGTCCTATCCTCTATACAGTTTATACAGCTGACATCCCTACCTGTCCCAACACTGTCATCACCACATATGCTGATGACACATGTATCCTATCAGTAAACAATGACCCAGCAATTGCATCCCAAATGCTTCAATCACACATCATAAATCTAGAAGAATGGTGTCAAAACTGGAGAATTAAAATAAACTCCAATAAATCCCACCAAATTACCTTTACCCTTCGTCGTAAACCAACGACTTCCTGTCCTACAGTTTCCTTTAACAATACTCCACTTATCCCTGTTGAGCAAATCCGATACCTAGGACTCCACCTGGACAAACGACTAACTTGGAATCCTCATACTAGACTGAAACGACAAGAAACCGCTCGACGTTTCCGATTACTTCAGCACTTACTAGACAAACGCTCTAAACTTCCCATTAATTACAAAAGACTTATATACTTGACTATAATAAGACCTATTTGGACTTACGGAGTTGAGCTATGGGGCTCCACTAAACCATCGAATTCCTCTCGCATCCAATCCTTACAATCCAAAATCCTTCGTAAAATCCTCAATGCTCCTTACTTTGTCACTAATAAAATTATCCATAAAGATCTTAATGTTCCTTATGTTTCAGATCTGGCCCAATCCAGATACCTATCCTTCCATAATAAACTTCAGAATCATCCCAACCCTCTCGTTTCTAACCTTGCTTCCTCTTCAATTCCTGATAACCCTCCGAGGCGTCTGAAAAGAAGATGGCCCCGTGATCTCCTAATATAGTCATATCATTAGAGTGCTACCATTGGGTAGTTACTCAGCAAGTGTATTCATGTCATTATATCAATTATGTCCAAATTTACTTGATGTATTTATGTAATACAGTTGTAAATGTCATAAAGAAATAAAAAAAAAAAAATAAAAAAAAATTTCCCTTCATTTCCTAACTAATTTTTCCTTATACTTCTAGACTAATGAATTAGCGACTGTTTCTTTTCTTAGCCTTAAATCATTGATTCTTAACTGGAGTAAAAATAACTCAATTAGTTTAAAACGCAATTCGTGATTAAAATTACGACGTAAAATGCTAAGGGCTGGAGTTGGCTAAAAAATAAATCAACAGAGAGCCCTCCCACAACATAAGTTTTAAGAACCCCTACAATAAATAAAGAGAATACTTATCATTCTGGACATAAAATAATAATATATTTAAAAATAAACAAACAGGGTGGCTGAAAACATAAAGAATATTTATTTTTTAGCTTGAGATTCATAAAAGCTTAATCCATTTTGTCTGTCTTGAAGAAATTTCAACATCTCAAAATCTTCCTAATAATGATTTTGTTTAATTACAACTCTTAATATATAAAACACTTACCTTCCGAACTGATATGGCCAAAATTGTACTTCATTACAACGCTATCTATATTAGCTTACCTCAACTAAGCTGCTACCAGAGGGTTGACGAGGGCTCGCTGAAGACTTACCGTGAAACCAATTCCAACGGTGGCTGAGAACGTGCCAGTCTGGAATTTGCCCGTGTCGAACTGGACCAGCAGCGAAGTCTTTCCCACTCCTGAGTCTCCAAGCAGGATCGTCTGGAATGGTAAATAATCAGAGTTATAGCAGATAATGCAACAAATAATAAATTTGGAGTTTATTTGACTTAAAAGGATCCATATTACGATTCATCGATGTATTTTTTTATGTAGTAGATGCCATAATCTCTTTATAAATTCTATAAAAACGATGAATAATTCAAAATATTGAGCATTCATAGGAAAACAAACTGAGTAGCAGAGCTCCAATACTTAGACCGTATTTCTCTCTTCTTTTTATTAAAAGATTATGAAAAGTGATTAAATTTTAAACTCGATTCAACTGCTGTATTTCTTCGTCATATGAATATATTATTTTTGAAATATTTTTATCCAACTTTAATTTATTAAAACTAGTTGTGGGCCGTGATAGTGTATTGATCAATAAACAAATGAAAAAAAAATATGAAAATCACTTACTGCAATGTATTATGGGATGGTACAATTAATTTTCTTCCCTCGTTTGATTATATTGAACCATTCAAATCAATAAACTAAAAGATACGTAAAAATTTAAACAGGCTGTATCTTTGCAAATAATGTTGTTTTTCCAAAATTCTATTTTGATATAATTTTTTTCCCCTCTTCACTAAGCTTTGTATTTTTTTTTCGGTTTGAGAATAATTACTTTTTTTGCCTATAGGTCAATATAATAAATAATCATGTTTATTTTTTATTAGTGAACGTATCCGAGAACCTTTGCCCCCCTCTTCAGCATCTAAAATAATACAATTAACACAATACAGTTTCTATCATAAACCGTTTTCATGTTTAACTTTAAAACATAACATTTATTTTTGGTTAACTTAATATGAATTATTTTATATACATTAGTTAAAATATAATATACATACATGATATGCCCCAAAAGTATGTAAGTCCAAAACTAAATATGATTATTTATTATACTGACTTATAACCCAAAAATTAATGAAAAGAAAATTTAATTTTAGTGTTGAGTAAGTAGTCTACTGGTGAATTGTAAGTATGAGACAAAATTGTCACGAATTTTACTCAATTTTTATCAACAAATTTAATTGTTTAGTTCAATAAATACTTTATAGTAACCATAATTAGTTTATGGTAATTATTTAGTTGAGGACCGCACGGGTTAAGCGTGGTTCACAATCGTTTCGGTCACACTTGTTCATGGAGTCCCGAATGCATCCAGGTTTATCCGAAAGACTGTTTTCGGCATTTTTTGAACAAGTGTGACCGAAGTGATTGTGAACCACGCGTAATTCGTGCTGTCCTCAAATAAATAATTACCTTAGTTTGTTAAATAAATAATTACTTAGATTTGAGAATTAAATATATGAAATTGATGTTTGTTAGCGCCATTTTCAGGCACTTCAGCGTTTTGAACTCAATCCACATAACTTCATAATCAAAATATGAAAAGCTTAATCTATGTTCATAGGTATAATTAATTTTATATATATTCTTATATGTTACAGTGCAATGTTAAACATTTATTTTAATGCGTGTCAATTTTCCTTCTTTTTACAAGAAATAACTTCTATAAGTAATTATAGCGAACTATGCATCGATACAGAGCTGGAACAATACTGAAGTACAATGTTCGAACTTACCGACCGATAAAGTATCCAAAAGTAAAGTTAAAAGTATGGATTTATATGAAACTTATATAATTTCATGGTGTAAATTTAATTTATAATAATTCAGAATATAAGAATGTATACATTAAAAATCGATTGACATAATTGACAGTATTTATTTATTTAAAAATCATACAATTAACTTCTTGTAAATTGTAAAGAAACTTCTGCGTTCGTACCCCAGAAATTTTCAAATCGTATTTCATTAGTAAATCTAATAAACTGGTTATAAGGAATAACATTAATAATTGTAGCGAAGTGCATCTGTTCGGAGCTGGCAATAGACTGAGGACAAAGGATTGTACAATGGTCGAACTTGCACCGACAGGTGGAGTCCAAAGTTTAACGTAGTCAGTTTATATGAAAATAAAATAATTTCGTCGTATACATTTAATTTACAATTATATATAATATCCACAACCATGCGACAAATGCCTGTAAATTCAATTATATTAGAAAACACGGTTTTGATTTTTCCTGGTGGATCATGACTTCGCTCATATTCAGAAAAAATAAAAACGTTATTTAATATATTACATCTTTATGTTAACCATGTAATAAAAATTTAACCGAAAATCTGAATTATAAAATGAAACAAAATTTTAATAAAAAAATATCAATTGTTAAACATTTATAATTGTAGGTTGATGGTTGACTGTAGTGAATAATTGAAGAAAAGGATGGTTGGGGTGATCAGTCAAAATAAAATAGTAAAAATAGATAATTATATTTATTTTTACATTCCCAGACGTTTCGGCCCGAAGTTCAGGCCTTCATCAGAGCTGAGAAAAGAACCAGATAACAATAGGAATAAAAAACTATAAATATTGAATAATAAATGATTAAAATTAAAAACGGTAGAATTGTGCCTACGTTGTTTTACCTTTCACCTTTTTTTAATTTTAATTCTTTATTATTCAATGTTTATAGTTTCTTATACCTATTTTTATCTGGTACTTTTCTCAGCCGTGATAAAGGTCTGAACTTCAGGCCGAAACGTTATCAAATGTAAAAATAAATAAATTTTATTGATTTTTTATTTTGACTGATCACTCCAACCATCCTTCTCTTCAGTTAAACATTTATCCTCTTGCATGCGTGTGTGCACATTAAGGGTCAATTACTTTAACTCACAATATTTTTTTAAATGGTTTGAAAGTGTTAAATATGTGGCAATTGATTTTTCATGCTATTATTTAAGAGGCAAGTTAGGAAAACTCACTGACAACAATATAGAAAAAAGCCTCTTAATATAAACAAAGACAATTTTATAAGTCATTAATTTTACGTTATGTATGTGACAAGTAGTGTGAGACGAGTCTTGGTCTTGCAAACTCAGTCTTGTCATGGTCTTGGTCTTGCGCAATAGTCTTGCAGTTACTTATTAGTTTATTACTATAGAAATATTACTCTATTTTTTTTGGTAGGAGAAACCTAACTAAGCCTGAATCAAAAATTAGAGGAGTTAAATGCAAAAGTATATTGGTTATACCAATTATTAACATATAGTAATTAAGACTGTCAAGCATTAGTAACTATTTTGTCTTAATTTTTATTTTAAAAAAAAATTTTTTTTAATGGTCCTGGTCTTGGTCTTGCAGCAGTTAGGCGACCATGGTCTAGGTATTGCAAAGTGGAAGACCAAGGCCTAACACTACTGACAACCCCAAAACAGAACTATCTTGAATCAAATCAAGCTCAAGGGTATGTAGAATTTCTTCTAAGCATATTTTTGTAAACATTAGGTACAATCTGATAAAACTTACTTTGTATGCGGACGATGGTGTTTTTCCCATGAAAGAAATAATTGACAAAGTTAAGCTAAAGGATGAGAAGACATCAATAATCCTTTGTTTCTACAGAATAGAGCACTCTGGTAGATGGAGGAAGGGAAGAAAATTGGAAAAAGGTGATTGGAGCGGAAGATGGATGGAGATATGATTTGATAAAACTCGACCGAAAATCATGGTCCCTGGTCAGGACCGGAGTTACCTGAGGCAAAACAAGGTCTCCTTAGACAGAATGCTACTTTTTATCGTTCAAAAGAGAAACTTTTATTGAGGTTTGGTTCCTCTTTAACTTTTACTGTTGTAATAATATAATATATTAATAATTCGAAACTTAAATCACAAATCTTCATTTTTTCAGAACCGTAAATCTCATTTCTATCATGCAGTAGGTTTTTATATAGCAAAAATTTGTTTGTTTTATTTACTCTTTGACGCATCCAATCCTTCCAATCCAAAGTCCTTCGAACAATAGTCGATGCTCCTTTCTATGTAACCAACAAACCCTAAACCATGACCTTAATATCCCATTTGTCCTAGACCTTATCCCATCAAAATTCCACCGGAACCTTACCTATCATCCAAAACTCTTTGCACAATCTCTATCCAGCACCACCCATCCATATAATCCTCTAAGGAGATTAAAACGGCAGTGGCCCCGCGACCTTTTATAGTTTCAGATGGCCAGATTCTCCACTCATGACATGAGTGTATGTGGCTTAAGCACTCTTGCTCCATCTCCACTGGGTTTAGCCCCAGTGACGAGGTTGAGAGAGAAGTGCAGGGATCTCCTAGAGTCTGATTTGGAGTTCTCTCGCCAGATTGTAAATATTGTATATAGGTTATTTTATTCTTATATATTCTATATATATATATATATATATATATATATATATATATATATATATAATTTTTCTGTATAATTTATTTTATTTAATGTACATAAAGTGTGAATGTGATCTGTGAACACTATTATAAATGTAATTGAGACAGAGTGTAATATTTTTCAAAATAAAAAAAAAATAAAAAATTTACTCTTTACATATTGCATTTTTAATATTTTGTTATTATGATTTTAATAAGGTTTTTTGTTTACTTTTTTATTCCTTCATATATTCATTTGGACCTGTCAACAAACGTTTGACAATCAGCTGATGGATAGATGAAAACACGTTGGGCATCCAATTAACATTTAATCTTAGCATTGTCTTTATTAGCATTGTTTTTCTTTTTACAAATAATTTCTGTTGCATTCGTTAGAATACTGTGTTAGTTAACAACTCAAAACACCTGAGCAACCACTAGAATTATTTTCTTCATCGACCTTTTTTTTTTAAACATATATTTCAGTTTATAAGATGGACGTGATCATGCACTCAAGTGTACAAAACAAAAATACATAATACAAATTTAACGCATGTTAAAATAAATAAATCGGACAGTTACATCAAAAACTAAAAATTCATACCATTAATTTAATTGTTTATCAATTTCTACAAGAAACATTCCATATTTGGCAAACTTCGATGGAAATTTTTTCTGAACCAGGGAAAAAAATATTTTTATCTCCTTTTTGGCTATTTTGACATTCATT